TCTATTCCTAGCACTGGGAGGGAAGTGTGGTCTACTGGTCAGAGCAAGGGGGGGCTGGGTGTCAGGATGCCTCACTTCCATCCCTGGCTCAAGGAGAAGGGGCTAGAGGGGGGGTGGGGTCGTAGTGGTTAGAGATGGGGGACTGGGAGCCAGGACTCCTGGGTTCTCTCCCCAGCTCTCCTAGGGAAGTCGGGTTTAGTGATTAGAGTGGAAGGCTGGGTGTCAGGTTCTATCCCTGGCTCTAGCAGAGGGGGTCTAGTGGTTAGACATGGGGGGGCGGAGACCCAGGACTCCTGGGTGAAATCCCTCGCTCTGATTTTGCGGTGACCCCTTGTCCCCTCTGGCTGCCTCAGTTTCACCTTCTGCAAAACCCAGCCAATGGTAGCGACCCACCCGAGGCTTACAAGCCTCCAGTCAGCGGCGGCTGTAGGACTAGAGGGGCCAGAGAGACCCAGCTCCCCTCAGCCGCTGGCTAGCAGGGTCGCCATGGGGCTGGCCCAGGGCTGTTCAGAGGCACCAGGGGAGCGAGGGCCCAGACCCCAGCACCAGGGAATGGGGCAGGTAGGGGAAGCCACTGTCTGTGTGACACAGACATGCTGCCATATTCTTCTCCTCCCCATCCCAGATCTAGCCCAGCATCCCGCCCCGTCCCTGCCAGCCGGGGGCTGACGCATGGGCCCCTCTGCCCCGGCATTGTGCCTGCAGGAGCTCAGTGGGGAGGGGAGGGGAAAGGGCACAGAGAACCCGGAGCAGTGGGAGGGGGAGCAGAGAGAGGGAACCGCAGCTGGGTGATGAGCGTGAGACCCCCCTGTGGCTCAGCAGGTGCCCCTCAATCCCGACCCGCATCCCAACCCTCGGCTCCCCACCACCCTCATCTCTGGCGGTGCCCCTCAATCCCGACCCGCCGCCCCCTGCTAGCCCAGCCCTGGGCTCCCCCCATCTCCGGAGATATCCTTCAATCGCTGCGTCTCCAGCCCCCACTCTGCACGCGGCCACTCCACCCCCGGCTGCGTGTGTGTGGTGGGGGGGGGTTGGAGGGCATGTTAAAGCCCGGCTTAGACGGCTGGAGGCCCCCCAGCGCCTGCCCCTGTCTCTGCTGATCATATAAGGACAGCGGGAGCCGTGCTGCAGCGCTGACCTTTAGAGACGCAGCCAGGGAGACACCAGCAGCCTCCCCCGCCCCAGCCCAATTCTGCCCCCCCCCCCGCCCCATCAGGGCCCGGGGGTTGCACATGCCTGGACAGTCGGTGGCTCCTCTCAGCAAGCCAGGCTGGGAGTGCGGACGCCTGGGTTCCCTCCCCAGCTCTGGGAGGGGAGTGGGGTCTAGTGGTGAGAGTGGAGGGGGATGGTAGGTGGCCTGTTCTGCAGCACAGCGCCCCCTACTGAGCCCCCTGCCCCGCTCCCGGCAGCACAGCACCCCCTGCTGAGCCCCCTGCCCCACTCCCCGCTGCCGAGCCCCCTTTCCTGCTCCCTGCAGCCCAGCGCCCCCGGCCGAGCCCCGGCCCCGCTCCTCGCGGCCCAGCGCCCCCGGCCGAGCCCCGGCCCCGCTCCCCGCAGCCCAGCGCCCCCTGGCCGAGCCCCCGCCCCGCTCCCCGCGGCCCAGCGCCCCCGTGCTGTGCTGAAGCTAGTCCAGATCTTTCTTGACAGAGGTCTGAGCAGTTCCCAGCTTACAGGGGTGGATGAGAATTGGGGGTTTGGCTGCTCCCGCACCCAGCTCCCTGGTGTCCTGTCCCCCTTGGGGGTGAGGTGTGCCCCCCATGAGGGGAGGGGGTCTTGCCTGCCTCCGCCCCCTGCCCTTTGTGGGCTGCTGTGGGGTGAGGGGCTGATCCAGGGGTGGTGTTTCCCTGCAGGATGTTTCACCGGGACTCTCTGCCCCGCCAGGCTGGGAGTTAGGGGAAGGCGGGGTATGGGGGGAATCGCAAATGCCTCAGCTCGATGGCCCCCGGGCGTGGCTCTGTGCCAGCGCTGGGAGCAGGGGCTGCTGCTCGAGCTTTGGGCAAACTAGGCCTCTGCCTGAGGCGGCAGGGGAGGCCCGGCCAGACCGGAGGAGTGGCACTGCCACCTGGCGCTTGGGCCTCTCCGAATCATCAGCAGACTGGCCGTGCCCCTCTGCAAAGCCCGACACGTTCGCCTCACGCAGGAGAACTTCGGTTCTAGGGGGTAGGAGTTGTTTTGCTGGGGGCTGGTCAGGTGGTACAGCAGGGGGCTGGTTGCCAGGCGCTGGTCACGGGCATACAGCAGCAGGGGGCTGGTTGCTGGTTGCGAGGCACTGGTCACTGGGACATAGCCGGGTGCTGGTTGCCAGGCACTGGTCACAGAGATACAGCAGCAGGGGGCTGGTTGCTGGGCGCTGGTTGCCAGACACTGGTCACTGGGTACAGCAGCAGGGAGCTGGTTGCTGGGCACTGGTTGCCAGGCACTGGTCACTGGGTACAGCAGCAGGGGGCTGGTTGCTGGGCACTGGTTGCCAGGCACTGGTCACTGGGTACAGCAACAGGGGGCTGGTTGCTGGGCACTGGTTGCCAGGCACTGGTCACTGGGTACAGCAACAGGGGGCTGGTTGCTGGGCACTGGTTGCCAGGCACTGGTCACTGGGTACAGGAACCGGGGGGGGGG